GCAGTGCCGCTGGGGCGGCCCCGTGCCGGCACCTGCGTGGAGCCCGGGGGCCCGGCGCAGCTCCGCCCGCCCGTTAACCGCGCCTCTGCCTTGCAGACAAACCTCCCCATCTTCAAGCTGAAGGAGTCGTGCGTGAAGCGGCGGTACAGCGACTTCGAGTGGCTGAAGAACGAGCTGGAGCGAGACAGCAAGGTGAGCGCCCGGCCCGGCCTGCCCTGGTCTCCACGGCCGGGGGAGGGACGGACACACTTGGCAGCAGCTCCAGGGGCAGTGGGTGGCTTCAGGACCGTGGCCTGCAGGGCTGCCGAGGGGCTGCCCCCCGCGGGCGCACGCTGGGCTCTTGGCTGACGCGGGCACGTGCTTCCAGATTGTAGTGCCGCCGCTGCCCGGGAAAGCCTTGAAACGACAGCTCCCGTTCCGGGGCGACGAGGGGATCTTTGAGGAATCTTTCATCGAGGAGAGGAGGCAGGGGCTAGAACAGTTTATTAACAAGTAAGCATCACGAGCCGGCACGGGACGTGGCTGGGGTGGCGAAGGGCTGTCTGCTGCTGCTGGGGTCGTGACCACTGCCCTCGCCGCAGTGCGCAGTTGGCGAAGCTGCAGCTCTGAAGGGATTGCTGCTGTGTGTTGCCCCTTCCCTGTGTCGGGGGCTGCGTGCGTGCCGCTGGCTCCTGCGGGGTGCTGAGCAGTGCAGGCCCCTGGGCCTTTCTGCCTCTTGTGCTGGTGCTGAGGCTGCTGCTGCTGTCACTTGGAGACAGCAGCCAGGCGAGGGGAAGGGGGAGCTGGAGCGTGGCGCAGGGCCCTGGCATGACCGACTGGGTGCTGCATCCATGTGGGTAGGATCAGACCCACAGTGAGGCTCTGTTCTGCACTAACAAGATGGGAGTGGGACCTCCTCCCTTGCAGGCAAAGGTGGCGAGTGTGTCCTTGCTTCCCACAGCGTGGGACGAGGCCTGGGCTGGGCAGGCACTAACCTCCGCTCCCGGTTCCCTTGCAGAATCGCCGGACACCCTCTGGCACAGAACGAGCGCTGCTTACACATGTTCCTGCAGGAGGAGACCATCGACAGGAACTACGTCCCAGGGAAAGTCCGTCAGTAGGAGAGCCTGGCACTCTGTCTTCCTCCATTCCACCTTCCTCCTGCAGAAATGACATTTATTTTTACACTAAATCTGTCTCCTCTGAACCAGCTTCTCTCTGAACCTCCCAGTTTCTCCAGTATTTTTTTTCTCTTTTCGTATCTGGCAGCAGCGTTGATATCTGCTGGGCTTTGATCTGGGCCTGAAGGTGTGAAGACGCATGCGGTGTATCTGTGGTGGCAGGAGCGAGTAGGTGTGTGATGGGACTGGCACGAGGCGTTATTGCAGTGTATGGAAGCTGCCCCTCTCCCCTCACAGAAGGCTCCGAAGTGACCTTCGCTTCCCTGTCCACGCAGCCCCGAGCATTTCTAAAGGAAACTGAGCAGAACAGTGATCGTTGCCGGTCAGCCACAGCAGCAGGCGCTGGGGAGATAGTAAGGCTTACCCAGAAACTCCGGTGCTGGGGCAGGCAGCTGGTCCTTGCCCATCCCATGCCTCCTCCCGCATGAACCCTCCCTCTTCCGCTGCCCAGGAGTCCTGAGGCCCAGGATTCTGCTCTACCCCCTGCTCCAGGCCTCCTGCCTTGCAGGCCTGCTCAGCACAGCGGGGCTCATCCCTCCCCCACCCCATGCTCTCTCCTACGCTGCTGGCAGCTTTGGGGATGTCTCCGTCGTCTGAGCTCTCATGGAGCAGTCCAGTATGTTTGGAAGGGGGTTGGGCTGGGCCTGGGCTGCTGAGGCTGCAAGCATGTGTAGCTGAGGAGTTGAGAACATGCCAAGACCTGGCCGGGTGCGGGGGGGGGGGTCTGGTCCGGCTTTGCAGCACCCAGTGAACAGACTTGTGTTGGCTGCTTCTTGCGTTGGTCTCCTCAGGCTTGGCTTCTTCCTTTCACTTCTCGGGGGGTGGGGGGCCTGGCAGGGTGAGTGGGGCACTGCTACTCCCAGACTGAGTGGTGCTGACTGCTGCTTGCCCCGCTTGGGAACGCTCTTGCAATCGGTCTGGGGCAGGAGCTGTTAGATCCAAACTAGCACTAGATGTGCTACCAGTTGCAAGGTGCCCAGGTTGTTGCCCCTCCCTGTGCCTCGCTGCTGCTCCCCTGCCCTGCGAAGCTTTGAGGCCAGGCACTTACTAGTGTGGGCACAAAGACATGGACTATTCAGGCAGCTCTTTAAAAGCACTTTCCTCAGAGGGTGCAGAAGGCTGCGAGCCGGTCCCTTCATGGATTTGCTTCTTGGTGCACTTGCCTCTTTGCTCTCCAAACTCAGTTGCTTGCCGAGGACGGGGGACCCTTGTGCAGAGGGGGACCTGGAGGGGCAGTGGGGGTCTTGGCTCTGGAGAGAGGAGGCTTCTGCCTTTTTGTATTGATCTGCAGTGACCTGACCTCCTGGCTGTGGGGATGCCCAGGCTCCTGCTAGTGCATCCACTGAGCTATTCACGCGGGGCTCCCCTTGCCCGGGTGTGGTGGTGGGGCTGGGGCAGGGGCTCTGGTGCAGTGGGGGGTGGCAGGGCCGGGAGCCCGGAGTGTCGCTGACGCAGGCTGGCTGAGCGGCTCCCTGGGCTGCACCGGGCTGTGGCGGATGCAGCGTGGCAGGAGTCCAGTCCTGGCAGCCAGAAGTGGCTCCGACTGACGCAGGCCGAGGAGGGGTCCCAGGCTGAGGCTGTGCTCCCCTCCACCCTCCCCAGGCGCTGCTTTGGGATGGAGCCGCGCTTCCAGCCTGTCCTTGCTCGCTGTCTGAAGCAACCTGCTGCCTTCCCCATCGGTCATGTTTCTAAACTCCCTCGTCCGTGCACAAGTGCTGGGGGATTGAAGGCTCTTTCTTCTGTGTATATATCCTGCTGCGGGGCTTTAATTCAGCAACTGTCTTCAATCTACTGTCTGGTGTCATGTCTGAGTTCTGTTCATATTAAACCACTGTGAAGCCACGCTGTCTACGTCTGTCCCTGAGGGGTTCTCAGGAGGGCGGGGATGCTGAGAGGGACACGAGCTGGGGCGCGGCGGAGCAGGGGGGTATGGCCTGGGACTGCATGCACGTTGCACAGCCAGCGCCCCATGTTCCCATCGGGCATCGGCTGGCAGGGCCGGAGTAGCGCACAGGCACGGAGGGAGGAAGGGCCCCGTTGTGCTTGTTTTACATATTACAAAACAAACACGTAAAGTTACATATTATTAAAACCGAGCGAAAAAAATAAGTGTCGTCTTCAGCGCGGGGCTCGCTAAAGGGTCAATCCGGCTCCGTCCCCGGGCGCGGCCCGTCGGGCGTCGGAGCCTCCTGCGGCAGGGGCGGTAATGGCACGGGAAGAACCAGCGCTTCCTCCCGGCCCCTGTTCCGCGGGCTCCAGCCACCCGGCGGGAAGGGGCTGCCCTCCTTGCCTCCCCCCCGCTCGCGGGCCGGCGCTCTCCGCGCTGGGGCAGCCGGGGCCGGCA